TGTGGAAAAACCGTATCAAGAAAAAATAGATTTCCACAACGAGATGTCTATGTTAACAACTAATAAAAGTGTATGTGTAGGGGAAGAATATAAAGTAGGCCACTCCTCTATTACTGAAAACAAACTACATAAACCTTTTTCTATTAGGAGGTAGGTATGACATAGGAATATTTACACAGTGTTTACTGTGTGTAGATACTTGCTCATTACTTTGATCTTTGATACTCCTAGGTCATAGCTATTTCATTCATATTTTACATGTCAGAAAATGGAAGCATAGAGAGGTTATATAATTTGTCCAAAGCCATACTCTCAATAGTTACTCCTAATCATTCACTATATGAACCTTTGCTATTACAGGGATGCCTACACCAGAGGCCAAGATAAACCCACACTTCAAACTGAGGTTCATGCAAACCTGGCTCAGTAGCCACAGGATAAATATAATTCTTTATGAGGACTCCCAATTTGAGGATTTGGGCCAAGGATTTTTTCCTTTGATAGTAAAACAAACATTTACAGTAATAATGATCTTGCTCTGGAGGCTGTCTCAGGTTCCAGTATCAATCCCCCTTTCTGGAGCAAAGTGTGAAAATACCATGAGAACATGCTCTGGGAAATGTAAAGGATGACACATTTTTGTAAAATAAAATAATCTGACTCAATACAAAAACCTTACCCTTTTACTTCTGGACAGCCTGAATCTTGTAACAGTGCCAAACTGGGAGAAATATGCCCGGATCTGGGTTTCATACAGTGCTGGAGGTATGTGGCCCACGTAGATTACTCCAGGAGTAAGTTTTTCTTGCTTCTGCTTCTGTTGCTGAAGACATAAAGACCAGGCAAAACATTTTTAATAAAAATAATCTAACGATGTCAGCAAACATGTAACCCCCCACAGCTCTCAGTCCAAGGGAAGAGATGGGGAAGGGAACCTGCCCTGTATCCACTCACCACAGCAATAACTGAAAAATTAGCTATTTAGTATCCATCTCCCCAGGAGGGCAATGGCAAAGCAGATGGTCTCCTTGGCCTGCATCCTAGCAACCAGCACCATGCAAACGCTCTTACGCTTTGAATCACGGATAAGCAACCAAGTCTTAGGACGCATGGCTGCACCGGAGCACCCACACGGACGCACCCTAGGTTTGTATGCAGCTCACCACCTAACCGCACAATTCCCAGGCGTCTGCTGACCTTCACGATGCCTACTGACCTTTTGGCATCTTGGTCATCCCGCCTTTGCCTTCTACAAGAACTTTAAATTTTTCCAGACGCGAATTTTATGCTAAAAACCAAGGCAAATATAACGA